CGTACTGCGGCGGGCGGGCGGGCGACGGGGTAGGAGGTGAAGCCTCAAAGATGGCGCCGAGCCTCTGATAGTACCCGTGGCCGCCAAGAGATGGCGGCAAGAATGAATTAGGTATATTCTAATTACAAGACAAGACCTTTCTCTCCCCCCCCCCCCCCCCCCCAATCCCACGAAGTCGTCGTTCCTGATCACTCACCCGCACAACGTGACTAACAAACTATAACTCGACTAGATAAGGAAGGGGGGGGGGGGGAGGGGGGGGGGAGGGGGGTGCTATCAACAGAGTTTGGTATTTTGACCTCACTGCAAGCTAGCATTGCACTCGTTCAGTGAGTGCAGTCTAGATAAAGTGCACTAGGATTGGAGACTGGTAACCGAGCGCGTATTCCGATGAGACACACTGAAAGAGCGTATACGAAAAAAAAAAAAAGTGGCGCCTTTGTGGCTAGTTGGTTTGCACTATAAACTGTTTTATGTTTGTTTTTTTTTTATATAAAGGCAACCTGATATTATTAAAAACGCTGGCTAAGGAGCTCAAGCCGCCGCCCAATTGTAAGTGCTTCAACTCTGGGTACTTAATATACGTCACAGGATTGTTGTTACGGCGTTTTTTGTTTTTAAGAAGTTATTGAGATGCAGAAGAAAGCACTAGTCTGCTCAATCATAACCTGGAGGATTCTTGTTGAAAATAAAAATGACAAATAATCCGTGGGAAAATCTTCCCTCTGTGTTCCGCTGTGCGACTATTTTTGTGACGTCATCAAACGCGTGCTTGTTTGCAAGCCGACGTGGAAGGTGGAGAGCAAACCATTCGGCGAGCTGTCAGTTTTCATGCCGCTCTCTTTATTTTAGAGTCAACCTGACACCGTTGAATTTGGTTGAAGTTTACATGTATGCTCTAGTTTTTGACTCATGATGCAGTCGGAAGGCTGAGGACGTAACAAATTTTAAATTCTGCCACGTCACAAATTACAAAACAGAAAACGTAATTTCGTGGAATAGAACATGTATTAAGTAATTTATCGTTCAAGCAGGAAGGTACTTATTTAATAAGACAGTAAAAAATACGCCAATTAATTAACACGTATTTAAACTAAGCAGCGCGACAACCGAACAACGCCATAGTTTAACCGCGGTTTTTACATAGTGTGCGCAGAGAAGCCGTAAATGTAGCTTAAAAGGCAAAACGAAAAAACAAAATACGCAGATCAGACCACAACATATGAAATTTTTCTTAAAAATGGTTACACAGAGTTCGCGCAAAGAATGAGAATCAAAGCAAAAACAATTTAAATACACATACACACATACGCACACACAAACACACTTAGTCGGACCACACCACAGATGTTCGAATTCTGCAGCAGCAAGAAGAAGAGAGCGAGGAGGCGGGAGGAAGGGAGGGACGATATGCTTTTCTCTTTGCCTAGACCGACGGGAGGAAAGTTCCTCCCTCCCGACTCATGTTTTTTTTTTCGGTTTCGTTTTTCGGGCACGTCGGATACGTTGTTCTAACATTTGCCACTGAGCTGACTTAGCGTCTGCGGCAACGAAGGCTGCCTCTGATCAAGTCTACGAGTTCAAACATGGACAGCACTTCAGTTGCATTGACGCTTTTACCGCTAATTTTGACAAACTAGGAAAGGAAGCCTCTAGAAACAGCAAGTTCCAGAGCAGTGCCAACAGTGCTAGGCGCACTAGGCTAAAATGGCCGTCTCCGAAAAGTTCCGTTCAAGTCAGGCAGGTATTCCTGTGCCCGCGTCTTCTGTGCTACGTTTGGCTCTGTTTTGTGTTAACGAGTGCCATCAGACGATGAACGTGGCTTTATCTTTCCGTGAGTCACCAACATTGCCATGGCAGTGTTGTGGGCTCTTAACAAAGTCTTGAACCGTCGTCGATGTCTCCATGTGTTTCGCTTACCAGTGGTGTAACAGCGAGGCGAGATGTTGTGTACGGTCGCAGGATGACATTCTGCAGTACATTAAAGGATTTAATAAAACCACGTTAGCGATTATGGTGCAGTGAATTGACCGGCGGATAGTCACGTTAGAATGCTGGTCTGAAAAGTAACCCCTATGGTACGGTGACCAATCGAACTGTCGCCTGCAGTGCCCTGTTGTCCCATCCCTGAGAGCGATTGGTAGCCCAGGGAAGTACTGAACAGGCTTGAAAAATGACGAAACAGAAGCAAGCACGCACGTATATTTGCAGTTTGGAATACTAGCATTGAAGAAAATCAGACAGAGCAGCCTGTGTGGTGTTAGGTAAGTTTGTTTTCTGTCACAGCCGAATATATTTTAGTCGACAGTCGGCTTGTAGCCGAGCCCAAAGAGCCTACCTGTTATAGTTCTAGCTTTGTCTTCTGAATTTTCGTACTTAACCAATTTTGAATCTACACATCACTACTAAGGAGCATATTCTTTTAACGACCTCAGACTGTTCAGCCCCTTCCTTGGTGAAGAACCGTGATCCTGCTATTTATTTCAAATAAAATGAACCCCGAATTGTGGGATCGAGCTCGCAGCGAATTCCAATAGCGAATGTGCATTTTACAGTCCTTTCGTCGATGCCAAACGTATGAGCTCTAAACAAAGAAGGATAACCGCAAATAATGCACTGACCACTGGACGACTTCGGAACACCGAGTGCCGTACTTCATCAATGTCGCTCCGTGGATTCGTCAGAGCCACTCGGCGCAACAACCGGCCAATCTATTTTTTTTCTTCCGCCGACGTTGTATAACTGGGTATGACATAGTTACTTCTTTGCTCAAGTTATTCGAACCCTTTTCTTGTTTTCCAGCGCACCACAGCGTAGCTAGCGGCACACAACACTTTCCGCAAATCGTGGCTTTGACCGCATTCATGTTGGTCGAAAAGAGATTCCTCTAACCCATGGAACATATCTTCCAGCCACTGCCGCCACACATGACTTCTGCCGCCACACACGAACAGCGCAAACACGAAAACAAACACTATGATACAGAAACCGGCTTCCCTTGCGCCATTCTACAACGTGCTTTGCGGGGAAACGAACGAATGGCTGCTCGGAACCACAGTGGAGCGAGTGGTTTTATTGACTGCCGCCAATAATTACAGCGGGAACGTTTATTCTTTACTAGGATATACATCCCTTGTGTCGTCAAAATACCTTCTGAGCAATGACATTACTGAGAAAAATTGGACATGCTGGTAACCTTATTTATTGATATTGAGAGTCTGATTTTATATTATCTGGTACTGAATCGAGTCAGGGTCCCTTTCAAGCAAAAGTTTGCTTTCAGGTAAAAAAAAAAAAAAAAAAAAAGAGAAAATAATGGATTGGAACGGTTCGTTTGAAAGCTGAGCGAGGCATCCCAGGTCTAAGTTTGAATTTGCAACTGTACGAAACTTAGTTGTTCTGATGTAAATTTTCTCGTTTTATACGAGTTGCGATATATCAACCACAAATTATTCAACCATTTTCAAGCTGTGATTCACTGCGAGTTGTGTAGAAGGTTTTTGTATCTTGAATCAAGATAAGAAGGCCGAAATGCTGTTATCATGTTTGATTTTACTGCAAAATTAAATGGGAGAATAGGCGCTTGGAGGCACAGTATCGTTTCGCAAGCTTGTCACTATCCCGACTAATCAATCAGTAACGACAGCGTGCCAGTGGTGGGCGCACAAGTAAGTGTAACTTGGGAGCCAGAAACTGACGTTTCTTAATTACAAATCGGAATGACTTTTTATGGAATGCTCATATAAACAATGTGATTGTAAACACTCAACGTTTTTCAACGAAAGATGAAATGTTCATACACCAGCTTAAAAGAAACAGCGTACATAACAAGTGTCTGGCCAATTTTAAAATATTCATGCTTTGACTGGAATTCTTTTGAAATAATCTTGATTGACAAACTATAAAACAAGATTAAAAATAGGCCTGCTAAGTTTGTACTTGGAAGGTTTGCGTGGAAAACCAGCTGTACTAGCACGATAAATGAACTTAATTGTGGATTACTTTCCGCTCTCCGAAGGATGTTGCGACTAGACGTTTTTTTCAATAATAAAACTAAAATTGCAATTAAAAGCCATACCAACTTCTAAAAAAAGTAATATATTTCTAGACCGAACGACACCGCTTTTAAACTGAGGGAGTAGCGAGCAAAGACGAACGTGTATGCCATTTTTTTTTTGTTGAAACCATTAGAGACGGGAACCGGTTCTCGGAAGTGAAAGCGTGCTCTCCCGACGAAGACATGCTTTTTTCGACTTTGTAGCCCCCTGCTATAACAACATCGGGCTCTGCAAGGTAATACTTGAATAAAAAAAAATAAAAAATAAAAAACATGGGCGCAATCACAAGACAGCAATATGAACAAAACAAGAATGATTTATGACAACAGTAACTGTCGCATCTTAAGAGCACGATTAAAACATGGAGGATGCACATATATTTAGTGCACATGGTATCATTATCACATTCAAAATCAGCCAATTGATCTTATTATTGGCAGGTCCATTATTTAGTGGAAATAATTGTAAAGCAGTACATAAATAAATATGGTTTATAACTAAGTTCATAAAATATGTCTTCTCCCGATAAGACGAATCAAAGGGTGGCTTTTTGCTCAAGTAATTACACGCACAGATAAAAACCCGCTGAACCCCGTCCAAATAAGCAGGCCTTCAAATAGACAATCTTGAACAACAAATGTGCTAAAAAAATTTTGCCAGTATCATACTCAGTGACAAACATTTGCGTATTGTCCGTGTTTCATGTGTTCGATCTGACATTTTTTCAAGGTGCGCAACTTCCTGTCCACTTCTTTTTAGATAATTTGCGAGAAGTGATGCATACTTTTTTTTTTATTAATTGCTCAGTGCCGTACACATACAGAAAACTGTAATAGTGAATTATAAAATCACGCCCTTTGGATCTCTTATTTTGGAGAAAATTTAAAGATTTTGTTTACGTTAAGAGTAGTTCAACTAGGCAAACGTTTCACAAGACAACAGTTTCTATTAAGTTTTCTTTGTTTATTACGCACATCTTTGGCTTCAAGTGGGATTAATGTTGAGTGCCCGCAGCTCCTTTTCGCCCACTTTGTTAAATATAACTTTCATGAGGGGGTTTTTGGGTCCGCAGACTCCTCGGAAGTCATCAAGATCGTTGTTGAAGACCATGACGCCACGGTACCCCTGTCCGATTATGAAGTCCATCTGCGGATCAGTAAAGTGTATTCAGTTCACTGCCCTTACGATGGTCATAGGCTGAGTTTACATGGATGCGACTGTAGCGAATTAGATCGAGAACTTACTATTTTGATGGGCTATATATAGGTAGAAGAGGACTGAGGTATGAAGACAGGGTGCGTGTGATACGTCCCTGCTCGATTCGATGCACTACAGTCGCATTCACGTAAATCCTGAAATAAATTTTAGTTCGTTAAATGATCTAAATTAATATTTCATTTAATTCCTACGAAATTTCCCTTTTTTATTATAAGAATCTTAAAATTGAACTGGCTCGCAAAAAAAAAAAAAATAGACTGAAATATTAAAATTTAAGGGAATTCCGGTACTAGGCGCGGACATAGAACCTGCTTATACCAGAAATAAAAACAGCGACAACAACTTTTTCTTTGAATGTAGAGAACCTACATGGTTTTGTCATGCAATTTTCTGTTTTGGATGTATTTTATTGACAATATTTTTTTTTTATAATCCCCTGTTTTCCTGCAACCACTTCCTAAGATTTCTGAAAGGCAAGCAAGCGGATTAGGTCTTGACAGTTTCAAAGTCAGTTCTTTCGAGACTTTGAGACAAAAAAACAAGAGCGGGTTGGTAAAAATACAGGAATCAATAAGAACATTAAAAAAACGGACACGGACAGACAACTAGTTAAAAGAACCGTGCTGTCTGTCCTTTTCAATAATGTTTTTTTTTTTTTATTTTATTGTTGACACTTGTATATTCAAGATAAAGCTCGAAACTTCGTGAGTATCGGGACACATAGGCTCAGATGGCGCAGCGCAAACATTAATTTTATTTAAAAACTTCGAGACTTCAAAAATGTAGTTTCAAATTGGCTAAAGAAAAATGTTCCGACATACAATGTTTTAGTTTCAAGCGGCAACATGCAGGAGCCTCAAAATCAGCTTAACAATGAAAACTGCAGACTTTCTGATGTAGTGCCCTTTACTCAGCACCATTAAAAAACATTAGCTTAATCTTAATTATTTATTTACAAATTACAGTTCGGACTTCTGCAAGGAACTGTGAGGCCAGGTTTGTTTAAAACAAAGCATGTGAGAAATACGACTCTGTTCAGCTTGCCCCGTAGACGTTTTAACTTGCACTTGGACGTTGTGAGTCATTTTCTTTAAATAGTGGTTTCTGGAGCAATCCCATTTAAGTCAATATGGTCACTCGTCTTCATTTCGTATGCGTGACGTGAGCGGGATAGAAAAAAAAATAGTTTCATTTGAAAGTTATTTTCGACCACTGCCAGAGTAGTAATTGACAAATGCACGAATTTATGTTGTGCGACACAGTGAACGCTATTCGATACAACCGAGCGGAATGAAGTTTTAGAGACTTGGATGCCGTAGTAACAGAACGCAAAAGAGTTATATATGTATATATATATATATATTTTTTTTTTTTTTTTTTGAGTATGCACAAGGCCAATCTGGGAGCTCTTTACTTACCTTATTGGCGACGCTCTCTTCGTCCTCGTACCCGACCCATTGGTCCCCGTGGTAGGCATAGGGGCATTTGGCTTCTTGATCGAATTTCCGAGTCCATAATCCAGATTTAATGTTTGGACAGATCTGCGCATACACGAAGGTGACAAAAAAAATCGCTATAATTTTTTCCGCTGTAGAAGGCACCGCACAAAAACTGTTCCACAAATCGCCAGAACCCTGCGCAAAGCGGGGTCGTGATTGTGTAACGTATGCACTTATTTTATTGTTGTTTACGCTGAGCTTGCCTGTATTTCGATTATCTTGCTCCCTCTTCATTTCTTCATCACCTGAATGCACTTCCTTCGCGCTATATTTCTCGTTTGCCTCGCTCAGTTGAGAACACATGTTTCTTCTCGCATGAGTTTAAGCGGGGAAGGATAGGGGTGAGGGGCAATGGCGTATTCAGAAAATGTTTTTTTTTTTTTTTTGGGGGGGGGGGGGGGGGGAGGCGAAGATGGCTGGGATGTTCATGATTTTGAGTGCGGAGGGGAGAGGAAGCTGAAAAGGCATGTTCATAATATCGAGTCAGCTGGATTTTGGGGGCGGGGGGGGGGGGGAGGAGAGGCTAAAGCCCTATAAGCCCCCCCCCCCCCCCCCCCCCCCCCCCACCTGGATATGTCCCTGGTGAGCGGTTGAGGAGGGATTGCAGGTGTGCCCGGAATCACTTCAAGTTCATGCTCCCCATGATATTCCTTGTTTTGCACCATTCGAATTAAGAAACATGCTCATCTCTAAAAGACACACAGATACGTGATAGGGTAGTTTAGACGTCTGGTTTGGCCGGTACAGTACGGCTGATAAGCGAGGTGGCGGGGTGACTGTAACGTGCAATGCATTGCTGCAACTAAACCGATAAACGCCGTTACAATTCACGAAGCCCATACATATCAAAATACTTTCACAAAAGAGGCCAATCGTAAAATTCGCTCATGGGTCGTGCACAAGCTGAACAGTCAGTGCCTCGACCACAAACTGCGCGCCGTAGTTTGCCGGCCAACATAAAATGGGGGGGGGGGGGGGGATATCCGACACCGCTGTGGTATCACGAATTGATGAGAAATGGTAACATGTCTCGTTATGGTGGGCGGAGGTGCTAAGGAGTGAAGAATGACTGGTGTTTTATACGCAAAAGCTAAAGCCCCGTGGAGGGTTCGGGCTTCTCTTGGGTCAGGTGAACCGTACCTCGTAGTATCCCATCAGATCGTGGGACCTAACGTACGGCCCGGCTTCAGCAGGCTGTTGGTGCTTTATCCGTGCCTTTACTCCGTGCTTGGCGGGGTCTCGTAGAACATACGTCCTTCCGTAGAACGCTATCCCCAGCATGAGTTTGTCTTTGGGTGCGCCCATGTTGACAAGCCGCTTCATTCCTTCTGCCTGAAATGAAAAAAAAAAAAAAAATCGAGTAAATATTGTATTACGATAGGATTTACTTGTCATTGTACCAGTAACTCTTGCAACTTTTTACGTGCTCTAGTGGTAGTCATAATTCATACTACGTAACCAACTGGCATGAAACCTGTGTAAACACATGACGATAGAATGCTCATAGAAGTGGAGTGAGACTTTTTTTTTACAGTTTTTAGAGGCTCAGGTCTAGACAACTTATGCTGATTTCACTCTTATAGTTATTTCTAGTTATTCGCTGCAGGACGTCAAATATTATAAGGAGCTTCACAACTTCGGTTTTGAGATCGGGGTGCTCTCGCTGTGAGATTACAAAATCACGCTGACAAAAACAAGAAAAGTAACGCAATTGGCGAACTGTGAAAACAAAGTTTACTTAGAGTATGTTGAAATAAAGCCCCTCCCTAAAATTTCTTATACGTTTTGACGTCTTCATTTTAGTGTTTATACTAAATAGACCTTTAACGGTACAACGAATTAATTTTGCAATAGCAGGTGGGGAAAACCCGTACCGAACTGTTTTTTTAAGGGAAGGGATAGTCAACGACGGGCAGCCGTTGTTACACTAAAAACATACCTTCTTCGCCTTGATGAATCTCTCTTTAGAAAGTTCTGGCTTGATGCTGTTGATTTCAAAGGAGCTTAGTCTCGGTAAAGTTTACCATATGCAACTTCCTTGTTTCTTATGTTAGAGCATAGATATTTTCGTAACAATTCTCGCAGCAACCTGTAATCTTTGGTAGTATTTGAAGAACAAAAAACAACAAAGCAATAATCGAGTAAAGAGCATGCGCGGACCACATACGTACGATGGTCAGTTCCTGGAAATATTTGGAATCGGCAGCCCTCTTGTAGAGGATGCTGTGCATATCCGTGAACCGGTTCCACTTGCCCCGCAGGTCGTAGGCGAGAACATTGAACCAGTCGACGTTTCTGCACGTACCAAGACAACATTTGTTTACCACTTCCGCGACCTCGACGGTGCGGCGTCAGAGATTGTACGTAGGTCGCGCTATTCGAAGCAATGCAAATCAGCAACAACACACGGGGAAGATAAAGAGGTCTTTAAAAGTGCACCCAGAGAAAAACTTAACTACCGTTGCCGATAGCCTTACCCGGAAGCCGTCAATTAAAACGTCCTCGCTTATTATGACATCGGTTAATGTCACGTTTTTTTGCGTATTGGAAAGAGGAGCCACGCCGAGTGACTCAACAACGGGTCAATCTGTGGGTTTTTTTTTCTTTTTTGAAAAACGTGAGCTATATAAGACGGGAAGTTTTGAGTAAAAAAGGAAAGTATGTTTATTTTCATTTCGAACAAGTCATTGGAAGCGCAAAAAAAAAGTCACTGGACGCGCAAGAAAGCCGGGCGTGTCCTATTATGTGATTCATTCTTCGATGTTCTTATGCTCTGATGACGCAATTTGATTTGCTGCGATATAATAATAAGACTCACGGGACTCGACACGACCTGCGTCTCTTAAGCTATTTGGAACTGTAGGTTCTCAACTGTTGTAAGAAAACCTGCTGTTTACACGTGAACGCGAAAAAGTCTAAATTAGGATAGTAATTTTTAATTTTTCTGTTCTGAATATAAAAGTTAACTCGAGTAACATATCGATGCACCTTTAAACTACGGATGAAGCTGCATGGTCATAGTAGACAGCCGACGACGTTATTTTTTAGGGAAGCGCGCCAACACATATCACGGTCATTGGTATGATAATTTTTTTAGGGTAAATTGTGAAACATAACTAAAAAAAAAAACGCTTAAGATTTTAACATTGGCGTTAGCTGAAGATCGGCGTGTAGGAATTGAAATCACCGAGTCATGCGTGGAATGTTGTAGCCGCTTTCCAGGTAGTTTTCCTCAAGGGGGACTGCCGCAGTCAAGAACAACGGATGAGGGTTGAAAGCTGCCTTCAGTTCCTAAAAAAGACGGTTTGACGAAAAATCGTATATTATACGTGATTTCCATTTTGACAGAGACACAGTGAAGTGTAGAACACAATTAATCTAGCGTTTGCTTGCTAAAAACCCACGGATTAAAATGGCATTTATGAGTCCGATGAAGAGCACTGAGATGACATCCCACAGGTGGATAGTTCAGTATCCTCGTGCTTTTTTCCTCTCGAAGTAGGTTTGCCTGTGGGTTTCAGCGAAATAGCTTGTACGTGGCATAAGTATTATTTTTTTACAGACAAAATTGTTTTGCGAATTGTTTAAGACAAATATTGCTGTTTCTCAGTGCTGATGTATGCAACAACTTATATCGTTAAATGCGCATGAGCTGACCGACTTACCCAAATAATACACGTGAATTTTACTTCTTAAGTATGTTACGTAAGTGCGTAATCCTATATTATCGCCAATAAATGCACAAAGCAGACTCAAAGAAATGCCTGCGCGTCTACTTACCCGCAAAACACTCAGAGGCAATCTCTGCAATCTATGAAATCAGCTCAGCGAGTGATGAAACGGAACTTCCGTTTAGACCTAAAAATTAAGTCTGCGCTGTGGCATTAGGCAATGCAAAGCGTCATGCTTGCATTGCGTAATGCCACAGCGAAGACCTAATTTTGAGTTCTAAACAGATGTTCCGCCTCATCATTCGCTGAGCTGACTTCGGAGATCACAGAGATTGGCTCTTCGAGAGTTTTGCGGGTGAGTAGACGCGCAGGCATTTCTAGAGTGCAAAGAGGCTGCAACTTTAAATTCGCGCAAACGAGGTCAAAAGGCCGTACCTTGAGCAGCTGTACGAAGTTCTCCTTGTCGTCCGACGTTCCACCCCGAGGTTCGTAGCCCGGGTACTTCCAGATGATCTCAAGGCCGTCAAAACCGTGGCGAAGCATCCAGTCAAGTGCGCTGTTGACAAACTTTGTTCTTCTCTCGGGCTTGCTCACCATATCCGAGAACACCTTGCCGCCTAGATCCCAGCCACCGACGGCAAGCATTGTCTTCAGGAACAGATGCTGAGTCTTCAGATCGGTGAAATTTCTATATAGACCTGAAAACGAATTACAACAAATAATGATGCTTTGAAAAAAAAAAAATAACCCTGACATCTCTGAAGTCTTGCTCACACATTTGAGTTCGCGTGCGATGGAGTGTTTTGCGCTTACTTCTAACAAATTAACACACTTCCACACTGACACCTAATATTGGTCAGATTTGGGACACTTGCGTATATATTTTACTTTTTTTTACGCAACATTTTGTTATTCTTGGCTCGAAATAATTCTGACAATGTTATAGGTGACTATTTGTCATACATTTGATGTTGCAAACACTGCAAAACCTTCAGTGTAGCCGATAGATGGCGCCAGTAGTGTTTGAAAGGAGGGAAAGCAACGCCCTCCCTTACACTTCAACGTATATGGGTGAACCTGCTTTAGGCTTGTTATGCACGCTTCTTCTCTAGTCAGACATCGGTGGACCTTTCAACCATTGTGAATATTCGTTGCAAGAGTCTCCCATTTTGAAAGGAGCTATTTTCTTTTTTTAAATTTCACATTTCTAAGAACAAGATGCCGCGCATTCCGGATTCCTTCGGGGACAGAAATGATTCCCATTAAATGACCCTGAACTAACTTTCATCTTGCTGGTACTCAGGAATGACGCTCTTGAGCTCCCAAGTGCGGTCGTCGATGCCAGCGAACGCGAGGACCACGAAGGTGCAGTAGTCCAGGGGAACATCCTCCACCCTGTAGTTCATCGGCGGAGGTCGACCGATGGCCCAGCCGTAGTAGTAGCAGACCACAGGAACCAAGAACTTGTTCCTAGGAATAGTGATTCCCTTGGTGGCATCGGAACCTGTAGAGAAGTATTAGCACCAAATAAACTTTTTACGTTCCAAAACGCGATGAAAGCGTAGGTTGTTCTTTGAGGCTACCGACTATAAATGTCTGAGGGGTCATTTTTATGGGTTATAGACGAGTAATTGACGCCAAAGCATTTATTAGCGAAATATAAATTTGATAAATACAAGACTTAAACGTCTATAAAAAAGTTAAGGGCAATATTTTACACTCCCCTTCCTCCTTTCGGGGGTTTCTAAAGACGTTTCAGAGATCGTCTGTTCTTAGTGATAACTCATTCTACGGGATATTAACATCCCAGAAATCGAAAACTTATGCTGGTGCGACGTCTATTTGCCTACTAAAATTGTGATGGAATTTCGTGCCATGCCCCTTTCTGAGCGGAAAAATCCGGAGTACAGAATTCAGCGGAGGCGCCGGCGGCGTGACGAAGGACGCGCTTCAGCCAATTGCAAGCGAAGGCGCCGACAGCGGAGGCTTTGACAGCGGAGGCTTCGACAGCGGAGGCTTCGACAGCGGAGGCTTCGACAGCGGAGGCTTCGACAGCGGAGGCTTCGACAGCGGAGGCTTCGACAGCGGAGGCGCCGCCGACAGCGGAGGAGGCGCCGCCGATAGCGGAGGAGGCGCCGACAGCGGAGGCTTTGACAGCGGAGGCTTTGACAGCGGAGGCTTTGACAGCGGAGGCTTTGACAGCGAAGGCTTCGACAGCGGAGGCGCCGACAGCGGAGGAGGCGCCGCCGATAGCGGAGGAGGCGCCGCCGATAGCGGAGGAGGCGCCGCCGATAGCGGAGGAGGCGCCGCCGATAGCGGAGGAGGCGCCGCCGATAGCGGAGGGGGCGCCGACAGCGGAGGAGGCGCGGACAGCGGAGGAGGCGCCGACAGCGGAGGAGGCGCTGACTGCGGAGGCGCAAGCTGAGGCGCCGACAGCGGAGGCGCTGACAGCGGAAGTGCCAGAAGCAGAGGCGCCGTTGGCGCCTCTGCTGGATTTTGTGCTCGTATTTTCCCGCTCAGAAATGGGTGGGGTAGGAAATTCTATCACATTTTTTGTAGGAAAATAGACGTCGCACAAGCACAACTTTTGTGTTTCTAGGATGCTTGGAGCTTCTAAGATAAGTTATTACCAGGAACAGACGATCTCAGAAACCTCTTTGGTGCACCTTTAAGTTAATATTTAATTAAAAGAAAGAGGTACACATAGTCCCGGAACGTTCGTAACGTCGTGGTACGATATCTATTTGTACCTTTTGAGAATGTCAAGTGAGATATAATGTTGCATTTTGTTTTTCGCATTTTGACGTTTCCTACATTCTGAGTCCTGCTGCATATTGGAGAAATTATGTACACCAGGGCACTGAATATGAGTAGGTTGTTTCTATTGTTCTTGTTTCCTATGGCGATAGCCAATGCAATGCAAAACCCCATCAGTGTCTTTTAGTCTTTTTCTCTGTCTTTCCCGAGGGGCAATTGTCTTGCGCGTTACGCATTTGTTAATTTTTAGTGTGTAGCGTTATATCATCCTTCAGCACTTGTCTCTTCAAATAAAAATGAGTGAAATAAAATAAAACATTACGGTTGAGCTAAAAATATTCTACCAACCACGAATGACCGTTTTTAAGCATGGTTGTTTAAAAATCGGTATCGTTCTTGCTACAAAATGCCAGTAAACAGTTATTGCGAATTTAAGTCATGTTTATATTTTGTTCTGTAGACAAATAAACAAAAAGCAATAACGAGAAATATTTTGTATATTTATGGAGCTGCTGAAAACTCAAAATTCTTTTTAAGCCTACACATCATAATCATTCAGAATAATCAGTTCGAAATTCAAACTTTCAAGACTCCCTGTGTCTTCATAACTCGGTGTACTATTTAGCGCACTATTAAAAAAATAAAAAGTATAAAATAAATAAAAAGAAAGAGAGAGAGAGAAAGAGAAAAACAGAAAGCAAACGCTACTTTTGGTGGGTAAATTTGCCAAGGCTTCAGGAATATTTTTTTTTCTCCTGAACTTTCATCTTTAAGTGTTTTGCGAAATATTAAATTTAGATATGTACTTTATGTAAACTTTTTACAGTAAACTCCAAACATGTACAGCATGTCCACACTGACTTCTCTTCATATACATGGCATTTTATTTTTATTTAAACATAATAAAATAAAATAATAAAAAATGGAGGGAGAGTTACAGGGTGCCGTCGTCTCCGCTTATTAATCAGGCTCGGCCGGACATGAGAAGAGACGATGGGCGTCGTAATAAGTTGGCTAATTAACTAAAATGTATTATTTATTTTTAATTACTTTCATTTAAGGGTTACGTTGAAACTGCAGTTTTTTTTTAAAGACACGCATTGTGTGAGACTGAACAAACCAAATTTTTGTTTGTGAAATGCCAAACGCCTTTGAGACATCATTCAATACATTTTCGCGTCTTGGTCTCCTGATTTCAATATCGGACGCAGAGAGAGAGAGCGCCATATACGTTCGTCTACAATGATGCATAGCAGTTTGACGTAGTAGTTTCGCTCGCCTCGTGGTGATCATCTCGGCAGTCCGTACTCGGTGGCTGCGCCTACGTCGAGCTGCCGAGATGAGACTGTCCGAAACGAGCTTGACATTCTTCTAAGCATCAATAGGAATGGGAGTTGCGGCGCTATTCCTGCGTCCTGCAGTTTCGAAGTAACTTGGCAGACGCAAAAATCGATCGTTAAATTAAAAAAGAATTGCCTTTGTACGCGAAATGTTTAAGTAAGTTTAGCCTGTAATGATGACTGCCGTTAAATCTGGAATTGCAACTTGACCCACTAAACCATCAATTAAACATCAATTTTGTGATACTTTGCTAACTTCTCGTGTCGGCTAATGCCCGATCTAATGTCTTCCAAGCTCGATGAACACATTGTAAATGTGGCATCATCGTAACTGTCACCCCCCTTAAAAAATACGTTTCTTCTCATTAAAATAAAAAGCCTCGTATATTCCTGAATCATGTCGCCTTGTATAAGGAATGTAACATATTTTTTATTTGCGACCTAGAAAAAATAAACAAAACATTCACACCTGAGAATAATATTTAGTGACTAGAAATACACTTTACTTTGATGGAATTGAATATTAACCGAATCGGGCTGGACAAAAACAAAATGCTAACTATAGATCGATAATTTGCTTAAGGTTTTATGCACTATCTAGGGTATTTCTTACAATAGCACACATAACAAAAAATAAAAGCTCCAATGTTGGTGTTTCAACTCGTGTGACTGAGAGCCATTCTTGTAAATATAGTAAATAGAATTAAAACTTTTGCTACATTGTTCATATATTTTAGTTTCCTTTAATACTTCACTTGCCGGCTGCTTGCACAAAGGCCAAGGCAGTTACAACTACGCGGTGTGGCGTCTGCTTTTAGCGCAAGAAACAAAAGTAAACATGTTAAACCAGTCCAAGTGAGCAAGTACCAGCGCATATGCCCCGTCGCTTTTGGTATTCCGATTTTCGAATTTTTCTTTGTTCTGTTGGCACATAACGTAAAACTTACCAGTGAAAAAAAAAATCCAGTGTGTACATTAACAGGCCTGGAAGTTTGCGGCCACCTTACCTTTCACTACTGCAGACGCGTTGTGAACGACGCAGGCCAGCAGCAGTACCAGAGCCGTCTTCGGTATCCATGGGGGAGCCATCTCGACGCTTTGAGACTCGCGCACCGGACGTGCTGAAACCTCCCGGCACGACGGCACGACTGCGGCACTCCCGTCCGTAGGGTCTGTGGGCGTCTACGGATGCGGGGCCATAATCTGAGCGCGGGATGTCGCTTCAAACCTCAAGTTCTTTCCAGGTGAACAGAACAAGCTAAAACAGTTTCGACTCACAGGAAACACTGCGAGTTCCAAAGATGTTTTCTGCCCGTCCGAAATCGCGACGTGTCTGCTATTTCAGCTCTCTGCGAATGCGGGCAGTAGAAGCGTCTTCTTTGGCGGGTACGATTAGTATCGAAGCAGGAAGTCATTCTAGCCCTTCTTATGACGCAAGAGGCCCTGCTGGCTCAGGTTTGCGAAACCGCGTGCTCTACGTTCCTAGACTCTTCACCTTCACACGTGTTGCTACTTTTATATTTTCTATATTTATTGCATCTGTAACTCGATGCGATGTCTCGACAACTGCCCTAACGTGTTTTTATAGCTGCATTCAAGGTTGAACGGCGTGCGTGCGTTTTATTGAGTTTTTAATGCTAAAGCGGTGTTGACGTATACATTCTAGCCTTTTCGCAGGCGCACGGCTGTGCTCGTCGGATAGCCTAGCCACGGGTGGGAACGTAGAGATTTACGTAACTTGTTGACAAAGCGTGGTTTGAACTTAGGCATTGAAAATAAGCGACTGACTACACGTATACCTGCATCGAGCGCTTTGGCCAGGAAGTGAGCCAATGCTCACTTCCTGGCCAAAGGAAGTGAGCCAATGCAGCTACCGGCGGAACAAATTATTTTAATACTTTGCTTGTATGCAAAAACCCGTGCGGGACAATACGGGCGCATATATTAACCTCAAGTCATTTGAGGATATATTTTTTGTGTTTTATGTTCTAAAGAAATTAGTGGGACTATACATAAATCGTTCGCGTCAAGAAATTTTAATGCCCTAAGAAAGTGTGTATGTCATTAAAAGTTTAATAATCAACTGCTTTGAATGCTGATATTTATTCCCTCTCAATTTTCGTTTTCTAAGGTACCATAAGTGTGAGATATAAAAAAGAGCCTGTCAACTGGCTGTCTTCAATGAATACATTTTCTTCAGTGAGGCATATCAAGCGAAATCATGAAATGTTTTTCTGGATTTCTGCCTGATTAAAAATAAACTGATCCACAATTATACCGTTCAGACAAAACATATGTGTGTTAGCTATGTAACTAACCCCTCCCCCCTCCCCCTAAAGAAAAGATACACGGATATATTGCATTAAACGTCTGCGCGCTTCTTTTCAGTACAGCAAGAAACCGATTTTTCGATTTTTTCTAATATCCCCTCTTTCCACGCACTGCGCTGATAAGGTATCTTATTTCCTTCAGCACTCAGTCCGTATAGACTATCTTAAGATTGAAGGTGAATTTGAGTGCTACTTTGTTATGCAAGTTACGGTACAGATAAAATGTGTAGTTTCTCAACCATATCTCATTGCTTATTCGTCTTCAATTCATCGCTCATTTAATATGAGGTAAGGCGAGCAAAGTCACGGGGCGTTGCAAGGACTGCCGAAGTATAGTGTTTTAACTTGGAGTCCTGTAATACTCTCAGCGAGCGTGGTTGGTATAGTAGAAGCGTGAAGCACGTCTTTCAGAAAGGAATATACAAGTTAAGAAAAAATGCAACATATAAACGAACGTTCAATTTGACACTCTGTGCTAGGGCGAAGCAACAAACGAGTGTATTTCTACTCCGTAGTAAAACGTAAAAAAATTAAGGCATGTTGATCGTCGTTGTAGGTACCTCGAAAACAGTCGAGTTGATTGCGAACTTTTTATTGGCCTCCTTTTCAATCAAAATTTGAACCAACAAACAAACCGTCTGCTTGACGCTTGCACTGAAAAATGACGTCACGTTCGGCGCGGCAAGTTCGGCGCACAGCCGAGCTGACCGAGCATTTTCTAAGATCTGCTTTTGGGTCTTCGCAACACACGCACATGCACACGCACACACACACACACAAACAAAAGGTTTGGCAGGATTCCGTGCCAAATGATAAATCGTTTGTGCACGGTATTTGGAACACGACTCCAACTTGCGTCTTTAGCGTCCTACTCCACCCATGCATCGCAAGTCGTCTCGAAGTGGCGACAAATGACGTCACAAAAGCCGGAGCGTCATGCCGTCGGATGGCGTGATCCTGGTGGTAAGCCCTAGAAGTTCCAAGAAAAAAAGCACGAGCAAACGCGAGTGTCGTTGTCGTCGCGGCGTCCCAACTCTTGACTGCCGAAGCTTCCGTGAACTGTCAAGCAGGAGAGCGACCTGTAACAAAACAGGCGTCTGCCACATGCACCACCGCTGCTGTGACACCGCCAGGATTGGGACCGTCGACAGCATGACACTTCTATGATGTCACAATACCCCATACCATGCGACGCATGCGCAAAAGCGTCGGCGGATTATTGGGTATCGTTATCGGTGCCATCGGAACGGTTTGCTATAAATCCCGAATGACTCGCTGTTTCAGGGGGTTACGTATTATAAGTGCAAGAAAAAAAACAAAACCCAAAATGAATAATAATAAAAAAAAAAACGGTTTGTTCAACAAAATGCAATGCCAAAAGCAATATATATATATATATATATATATATATATATATATATATATATATATATATACCGGGTGTTTTTGCGAAGACTTTCAAAAATCCTAAAAATTAGGGCGATTGAAAAAAGAACAAACTCTCTTCGGGAACAAACTACCAGCCACGGCGCACGTCAGGAATTGCCAAAAACCTACTAATTAGCCAGATAATTAATTAAATCTTGTTAATTCACTTTTTAATTAGGGAAAAAAGACATATGGCTCCAATTAGAAAGTTGCTGAGCGTTATCGAAAACCACTAAATCAGTCATTTTCAGAAACACTTTGAGCGCGTGAGACGAGTAGTAGCGCACTAAAGTTACCACTCGTGGAGCAGGTACAAGGCTAGCGGTTGTGGTAATGCCTTCGCGCGATTTTTCCGCCTCTTATCTAGCCCCAGCCTTGTACCTGCTCCACGAGTGGTAATTTTAGTGCGCTACTACTCTTCTTAAGCGCTTAAAGTCTTTCTGAAAATGACTGATTTAGTGGTTTTCGATAACACTCAGCAACTTTCTAATTGGAGCCATATGTCTATTTCCACTAATTAAAAAGTTAATTAACAAGTTTTAATTAATTATCTGGCTAATTCGTAGGTTTTTGGCAATTCCTGACGTCCGCCGTGGCTGGTAGTTTGTTCCCGAAGAGAGTTTCTTCTTTTTTCAATCGCCCTAATTTTTAGGATTTTTGAAAGTCTTCGCAAAAACACCCGGTATATATATATATATATATATATATATATATATATATATATATATATATATTATTTCGTGCTTTGTGATTGCGGCCCGTTTCTATAGCGCTTGCTTTTCCTCTCCGGATTTTTGGTTATTTCTAAATTCACGGTTTATTTTTTTTCTCGTAAATCATGCCACACTTACTGCTTAACTGCGTACAGTGATATAACACTTGTACTGCGAACATCTTTATATATGTGATCGTCGTCACACTGTAGTACTGCGAATATCGCCATCTGTGAGTGCCAGCGCGTCAAGCAGGCGGTTTTTTTGCGTTTGTTTGGCTTTTGCATAGTAATATAGTGTTCATTTTGTTTTAATTTGTTTCCAAAAGGCGTAGAGTTATGAGCCTTAAGTATGATATGTGTTTTATTTAAGGACATATCAGTAGAGTTTTATTGAGGAGGGCAATGGAACTCTACAAATATGTATTTAAATGATACATTCTTCGGCCGATTTATTCGGTTCAGTTTACGGCTGAATGACGCTGAGGAACTCCCCATATAATACCTGACAGCTCCAGAAGCAGAGCGTGCAGTTAATTAGCTTCACGCCTTTTACTTCGTGGTTAGCTTTTCCGCTTTTTTTGGTTAATGCCGCAATAATATTTATTGTAAAGCGATAATAAGGTTCTCGTGGCTCGCTCCGAGCTAGAGAAGTCGTTAGGGCAGTCATCTTTTTGGTGCTCTCAGTAGCCATCCCTCTGCGTTCGAGCTCACCAAACATGAGCAGTTTAAAACAAAATAGCTTAGGGTTTTGTAAGGGGCAGACATCATATCCTCAATGTGTAAAAAATGTTTTAACAGTAAAAAAAAAACACACACACACAAAAAAAAGATAGTACCGTTTTCGGTAGCGCAAGTGTTCGAAGACAGGCTCTTAAAGTAAAGGACTCGACAACTATCGCCGTCTCACGGATACTGAAGCTTCTATCTGTTCTTATATGTTTTGTTTTTACTTTTAAAGTTTTGTTCACATGCTGGTCACGCGAGCCTAACCTAAAATGGGATTGTTTGCTCCTTTTCATATTTTCTACCTTGTGAATGTTTACTTTTGTCTCCGTTGTCTTCACTCTTCAGTCCAAAAAATCTGGTCACAAAAGAACTCTTAGGGGTTCTTCGGCTTGTTGATATTTTACATAATAAAAAGTCATTTTAAGCACCCCTAAAAGTCTTCTTTGTGAAAAACCTCTAGGCGTTCTTTTAAGCTCATTCTTTATGCGAAGGAGTTCTTCATCGCCCAGTTGACATTCCAGTGCGCCGGAGGGCGATAGTGCTTCAGGCGAAACTGTTCTTCACAAGTTCTAAAGTTCTTGCATCGTCAAAGAACCTTTCAAGAACGTCTTTTTCTTTGAATGTGCTCTCAGTTTGTTCAACTTGCTTTTTTTTCCCATTTATTTATTTTTATGAGTGTTTGTTTTACTAGGAATGGGTGTTCTGGCAGGCTTAAACGTTTGTTGTCAACCTGTATTGCACACTTTCGCACCTCAGGCTTATAAACAGACACTTTGACAAACTAACAACTTGCACTAGAAAGTATGCTGACAGCCACATTTTTTATTCCTCTAAAAAAATATTTTTTAATGAACACAGACAGTTTAGGGAACTACCTGTACGAGGAATGACATCGCACATATACATTTTGGAGACACTAATACCACTTATTGAGTTGTTCAAACGGCATTTAGCCTGGCGACACTGGAGAAATCAGCCACTCAATTCGTGATCGAGATTTTGAACACGAAGCGTCGCACATGTAATGTTGCGCTGGCTTGCGCCTTTTCAAATGCATTATGCAGAACTACACCTAGCATTCGTGTTCGACGGGAGCATAAGAAGTTGAACATTTGATGCGGATCTTTGTTTGCACGGTTCCGAGTTCAGCAATTGTTTGTGTGCCGCAGAGAAAAGATTTGTGAGCACGTATGAAAAAAAAAAAATTAACGATGAGAAACTAAAATGAAAGACAAGTGCAAGCAAAAAATATTTGATTTTGACTTGCATTTTCGTATTTTGAACCATTGGGCTCTGTTAAGCTTAGGTGGCCAAAACTTGGAGAGTACAAAACATCTCCATTCGCTGCATAAATTGAAAAGTAACTATTATTTTCAATTCATACAAACAAAAGGATTTTTAGAAAGGCAAATACCATCTCAGATAGCTTTCGCAATGCTTGGGATGCCCTTTCAAGCACAAGACTGCCACGTCGACACAGGCCTTTCCTAAATGCTTACAACTTACAATCACCTTCTAGAACTACATCCATTAATAAAATATCTTCCTAAAACGCCTTAAATTGATATTGGTTGTCATTCAAGCAGGAACTACAACCTAACAAATCCTTTGGAATTATTACAAAAAATAAAAACTAGTGAAAAATTTAAGAAATTGTTGGGCCACTGTTCACATCTTGTCATAGTGAAATTCTTCTATTGACCTTATATATGTCCGAGCAAGGAGATAAATTGTCTGCGTGTTGAGTTTCATGCTCCGTAAGCATGCCAGGTAAGTGTACAGTGCAATCCCCTTATAACGATAATGAGAAATCCCGAAAATGCAATTCATTATAACCGATTATTGTTGTATCTGGACTGGATACCCAACGCAAAAAGGCATGGTCCTCTAGAAACTGATGGTTATAAGCGGTACATCATTATATGTAACGTTGTTATAAGTGTGTTGCACTGCAACTTCATCTTTTTTTTTACCTGAACGTCGTATCGTTTTGTTCGGTGTCTCATAGTGAGCCTCAACGAGCATCAGTGCAGTCTCTCTAATTGTTCTTTCACTAAATTAAACAAAAGAAAAATGACGTCTACACCAATTCAGATCTACCATAATAAATAAGAAAATTATAGCCGAGAAGAGAAGAACAATTGAGATGTGCAAAATTCGGGGTGGCACTCAGTTGGTCATACAACGTTTTAGCAAACGCCAACTTTTTTCTTTTTTTTTGGGGGGGGGGGGGGGTTTAACACTCGCCTCCCTATTTATTTAAACGCTCCAATGGCGTTGTTCGCTAAAACGTCATTTGATCATCTGATATGGACCCGCAAAATTCGATGTTCAGTCTGGTTCACAGGGACACCGAATCCGATTTTGTTTTGTAGCTTTAACCACCAAAGTTCCACTTATTGGCACTGGAGTTTTGTGTAGACTTCTCTCCGACAGGCGATCTATCGTCGCGATTTGGTTGCTGTTTTCGATTACGAGCTTTCCAACCTCTGTGGTCCCTTGGGTTTCCTGGTCACGTGCTTGCACTCCGGCCTGGGGACACGCTCTGGCCAATCACAGTTGCCGTTGTCCTGGTTCCAAACCGTACCACCTTCGCAGAACATTACCATGGGTGTACCGTAGACGCACCAGTAGTACTTGGTACAGTCATTCTCGTGTGGTATGAATGAGATGTTGGGGCTGTCGCAGTCCCTTGGATAACTCTTTGTCACGCTGACTGGGGTCGTAGTTTCCGGTATGGGAGTCGTGGGTTCCGGTGTTGTGTTTCCTCCGTCGTCGGGGCCGGTCTTGGGCGATGCTGTGGAGTCAGATTCGGGCGTCGGGACGACGTAATCCTTGAGTTTGTCGTGGATGGCTGAAATGAGGACGTTCTTCTTGCCGCAGACTCCCTGGAAGTCATCCATGTCAATGGCCCATATCATGGCGCCTCCGTAGCCCTGTCCACGGATGTAGTCCATCTGGAATTGACGAAAAGCATTGTTAACTTGAAGTCATTGGGAATTGGCGTTAACGTCAAGAAACAGACTTGGGGGACGCGTAAGCTTCTCCTCTAAGAGTGGAACGCGATAGCGTTATCGGGCCCTGTTCGCATCGCCTTCTCGTTCGCCGTGCAAGCGTACCCTGCGTGTCCTAATCTGTAGCATATCTGGCTCAAACATGCGGCGGTCCTTAATTCGCATTACATGTCATGTTTTTCTCACTTTAATTTCATGCGTGACGTCAAGCTTCACGTGGGTGTTGCGGATTATTTGAAATTCCTGCGCGAGGTCATGTGACTGTGACGTCAGGACCTTATCAACCTATCATGATTTTCCCGTCACAACGACACCGACGCCGACGACGGCTTTTCTACAGCACAAAATCCTTAATGGTATCGCGTTCAGAATTGCGCGACGATCACACGACGTGATGCGTTGAGACAGCGATAGCTGAGCTGCTTATTCAACGATTTGACGATGACGATCAATTGCTACTGCGCCGATTGCGGGACATACGGTAATCTGATATTGAAATGACGTAGCGTTGGTTTAGCGTCGATACGTTTTTGATAACTAAATGATTTTAAGATCTTTAACGCCAAATTTAGCGCCAAATTTAGCGGGGAACTTAATTGGTGCAAAGATCACGTGGCGTCAGTTTTTGTGCTAGATTTGGAGGGGAATATGAATTTGTCTTTAGGATCCCGTGATGTCAAGTCAGGTGACATCAGTTTTGCCGCCAAATTTAGAGGGGGAAACTGAATTGGTGCATCGGTCACATGACGTAAATTTTCCGCTAAATTTAGCGGGGAACCTGAATTTGTCTGTAGGTCCCGGGACGTCAGGTCACCTGCTATCCATTTTCCCGCCAAATTTAGTGGCGGGAACTTTTCGCTTACGCTCACGCCGTCGAAAAACTGGGTAACGGGCCACAAAGTTGATGGCGAAGTTCACGGCATATCTTTAGCCACTGAGAGCCTAAGAAACGGCTCATTATATTGGTTCTCGCTTTTTGTTTCGTGGTTTGGTCTTCGGCCTTCTTATCGGCTAAAGGCGCAATCTCATTAGCTACGGAGCGATGATAACAGACCCGGGATTCGCAACGCCCTGCGTTTCTTAAGCTGTCAGTGCCTATTAGCGTGACTTAAACATTTCTATAGCTCTGAAATCGGCCAATCAAATTGGCGCCTACCCTCAATGTAAAGTTTTGTGGAATCTGTTTTCAGCGCGCTTTTTCTTAGCTTGTGGAATCATAGGGGAATTTTTGTAAATTGTGCAAATAAAACAAAGTCACTTAATACAGCTTACATGTAGGAATGCGCATTCATTCCTACACGCAGCGCATTCCTACAAGCAGCGCTTCCTTTTTCACACGGCGCTCTGGCGGTGACGTCACGCTCCCCCACTGCGCAGGCGCGGTGCCCGCGCCCGCTCCACAGCTTCCGTGACGAAGCCTCTCCTTTGCTGTGCTTTTGGCCAATGGGACTTTAGGTGCCGTTTCACTCAACCAATTTCAACTTAGGTGCCATTTTTCGCTGCTACAGTTGGAACTTAGGTACCGTTTTTTGTTGCTACAGACTAAATTTAGGTGCCGCTTTTCGCTGCTTCAGACAACGCCTGTTCGCTCCATGGGACAGTTAATGCTTTCACATTGAAATACTAGAAGAATTGAACATCGGGCATAGGAACAAAGGGCCGGAGTGCATGTTTCATGATTCTCTTTTTTGATAAGACATCCAGTCATTTCTTTGTGCTTTTCTTTTCCGTGCGCTAGTAAAATGAATTGAAACGGAACTACTCAGCAGGCATCTTTATTTTAACCCCGAAAATAATAAAATTAATGAACGGACGCCGCCTCAGAAGGATGGAACTATTCCCGCAATGCGTGGTCGTACGCTCTTTTTTCCAGTGTTGTTTGGTCTAGCGTAATTCTTGGTTCGATTTTATAAACATAACCGTCAACGGTTCTAAAACGTTTGGCCTCAAATAGCAAATATTATAGCAAATAAACGCTTTTCATATATATGTGCTAAAAAAACACACACACAGACACTATGTAAGTCAACATTTTTGTGGTAATTTTAATCTAAAGCAAGTCAAATCCACTAAACTTAATGCACATGTTTCGCCACTTTCAATGGGATGAAAATATATGCCCACGGGGTCAGTATGACTATTTATATGAATTACCTTGATTGTTATACTTTCTTCGTCTTCGTAACCAATCCACTGGTTGTCGTAGTAGGCGTACGGACACTTTCCAACTTCATCAAACTTCTTCGTCCATGTTCCAGAATGAACGTGCGGGCAAATCTGTTTCCGAGAATACATTGTAAAGAAGCGTAGTCGTCAAGATAACAAACTTTTTTTCATTCTTTCATTTAAACCTCCGTCATGCAGTTTACAATACTACAGATCAAGTCGATACATAATTGAGTGATTAGCTAAAACTATAGGAAACATTCGAGTCACAGACGTATAAAATAAATAAAAATAAACGTGGAGTTACCGTTCCGTTCTATTAGCACGACGGTAACCTTTTATTTTCAGTAGGTGCTGCTATAACACATCCCGCAACTCTATTTTCTTAAACCAAACTATAGTTTGCTAACGGATATAGATAACGCAATATAAAATGAGCAGCAGCCTCCAGAGCCAGTTTCTTGCCTTCAAGAACTCCTCGGCGCACGCGAAGATAAACACACCGAAAGATTACGAGCGCGTGCTGGTGGCGGAGCATCTACAGCTTATCTTAAGTTGTAAGAGGCCTAAAGTGTTATTAAGAATCTATAAACGTTGTTGTCATAGATGAAAGGGAGCAAGTAAAAGAAGTTTCTATATAAAAGTTTCACAAAAAGTTACTGTAGGGCTCTTAAGTGCGTTAACGTACACTATTATTCCTGAGCAGCGTGTTCTTACTCTCTATGAGCAATCAGAGTCCTGTAATTTTCAAAAAACGGTTTCTTTTGTAAACTTTCCATTTCTTGTCAGATGCGCTTCATTTTTGTTTCCCGAACCTGCGAAAAAATTCCTTCAGGTGCGCTTATCTCAGCCGCTTGCTAAGCACAAGTAAGTAAAAGTAAAATGAACCGAGCTCACCTCATAGTAAGCGAGGAAGCCTGTTGCGTTCGTGTACGGTCCAGGGATTCCTCCCATCTTCTCCTTGTTAATGTATGCCCTTAGACCCGTGTTGGCCTTATCACTAAGAGTGTATGTCCTACCGTAGAATGGTACTCCAACTATTAGCTTCTCTCTGGGAGCCCCCAGGCTTATCCACAGTTGGAGACCGTCATGCTGAAGACACATCGGAAAAAAGAAGACATCATTGGCATTTGAAGACCACCATTAACTTAGGAGTATTTATCAAAGCATTAAACTATTCAATTATTATTACCCTGATCACAAAGAGGTGTAAAAATCTGGGGCTCGTTTAAACCTTGCGTAAAAACAGACTTGCCAATTAACCATCTTATCTCAGTGTTAGATACAGACGCAGAATGGTAAGGTGCAGCCACACGGCATAAACGAAAGTGTGGTGGTTGTGTGACGCAGACAATATTTATATCAAAAATTCGCAATTTAGGTAATGAGTTGTCACAAATAAAAGGTGGCATTGACGGCCAGGTGAACGTTAGTGCTCCGCAGAAACGACATTCTTAAGAAATGGTAATCAAAAGCGATGGCCGTATGTTAAACTTCTGCCGTGGATTGCAACTCGTGTCTTGAGTTGAACATTCTGGGAGAAAATTGAGTGACATTGGGAAAGATTAAAGCACAGACAACATTTCACTAGACCAGGTTAGATTTGCCAGCATTTAACATGATTCCTCACCTATTGCTAAGACAAAGACAACTGTCGATTTAGCAGACACGCGGAAATTACTACATTGGTGCACAAAATGTGGATACTTAAATGCGTTTGCATATTATGAAATAAGAAATCCACCAAGCATATCAAGGCAAGAAAACTTGCAAATACTAAGTAGTAGCTTAGGAATAAATACTTTATAATTCAGTCCGCCGTGAAAGCAAGGCATTTACTCTTATAGTGTGATATTGGTATTAAACGATAACAAAATCCACCGAGTACTTTCATCAAGAAAGTCGGCGTTTTCGTGACGGTATCTTTCTAGTTTGCGGGGACGGTAGACGCTTGTTTCCCTTATTTGTTCTGTCAAATGTTATTTACAAATTTAGCCTAATGCAACACGCAAAAAAATATTTCAAATGGACTCTCACCAAAAAACCAACTCACAACCAAACTCGAGTCATTCTTTTATTCGACAATGCAAAATAGACTTCATTTGAAAGGTTTGAGTACAGCACAACCCACTGAGATATGAATTCACCGCTTGTTGCAAACTAAGTGACTTCAAGTGGAAAATAAGGATTTAATTTTTTCTTCTATGTCTTGTGTTATACTAGCTTTATCCGTAGAAAACCTTTGCCTACGATATGTATACAGAGTCAGCCAATATTATCGATTCCAGCAGACAGTTTTTTATCATCTTACCAAAAGTGGACCGTAGAATACTTTCACGTTAGGTCTTAACATAAACAAAGGTTAAAAAATGTAAATATTGTGTACCGTAATGTCACAAAAAAAAAAAAAAAACTAACGGCGGGGAGGTTTTGATACATATCGGGTATACTTACAACGTTCAGCTTCTCGTAGGCCCATTCGTCAAAGGATCTCCTAAAAAGGGGACTGTGAACATCTGTAAATCCCGCCCAGTTTCCTCGAAGATCGTACGTCATTACGTTGATCCAATCCAAGAGCCTGCAAGCATAAAATATTGTTTCAAATACTTATTACAATAATCATGAATATAAGTGCTGAGTAAGCGATTTGTTAAAACTTTTATTTAAAAATAAATTCGGCTTTATAAAGTTTGGCTTTTATATTTTGCAACTTTAATTTTTAATCAAAGACGGTTTGAATTCCAAGTGGAGATGTGGCGTTTCCGTTCTGTCCCTGGTATACGTAAAATATTTAGAGAAGAGTAATAAAGTATACTGGCGGTTATCTAACTCACGCGACGTTACTAGATGGCACTCCCTGGTTATGCTGATGATGGTCTAATGAGCTAAATCAAAGTCGAACGCTTTCAAGGTGGGCTGAAACACCTTTCAATCTTTTCTGGACTTTGTTCACTGAATTCAAATATCGCATTGAAATTCGGTACACGTAAACATCAACTGTTTCGAGCTTCAAAACAAAGGGGCAACGATCGCCGCTGGGTAATAGGTGAGCAGAGCCTTGCTGCTGCCCATGCATCCTGAAAACTGCCCGTTCATCTACTTTCCCGCAAAGCCCACAAAAATTCAATATTTGCGATCCACGGATGAAGCAGGGGGAATGACGATAATAAAATAATTACGTTCAGACCCCGACATGAAGTCTGCGATGTGCGAGTGAGCATGTCGATGTTAGCACGGGAGTCTCAGTGTCATGTCGCGGTCTTTATTCCTATGAAAACATGGTAGCGCCTTTTGACACAGACGACAGTAAAGAACAGGACAACACAATGCGCTAGCCATTGTGATGTCCTGTTCTCCCCTTTCGTCCGTGTCAAAAGGCGCTACCACGTTTTCAAAGTTTTAGCTTCAACTCGCCCAACAAGCAGCACTGATCAACTTTTTTCGTAGTCTTTGACAGATGGGGTGGCGCTGCGAGCATCTTATAATCGCTATGCACTCAACGAGATTGCTACACCACCCGATAAGGAGGGCATAAAACGAATCTCGCATCGAAAATTATGAACATAATAACCAACGCCTTGTGCTTCATAAGTATCAGTAGCTGCCAGTGACTGCAGCCCGAAAGGTTTACTGGGACTCAACATTTGCTGACTTCTCTTCGTAGATCACTCTGACTGGCTCTTTGAATTCTCTGCAGAAAACCAGACGCACAGGCCATTTTAGAGCGTGTCTGGTCATGGGCGCCATGAGGACAGCATTGTTGACTCACGTTTCTCATTGCGGAGCAATGAGGAACGCAACTCTCCACGCTAAGTGTAAAGAGCTGTGTTTCTTAAGCTGCCGACTATTATGGTCACTTCCAACCAGCGGTTATATTGTCATGCGTGGTGAGCAAAGCAACAGTAACTAAACAGGAAGAAATAAACGTTTAACGTGGCGAACTTGTGGCAAAAATGAAAGGGTGCAAAAGATAATAACAGAGCGTCGCGGGCGTCGAAGTCGGCGTAACAGCAGAGTCGAACGGTGGGGCGAGACTGACCCTGCTCGCCTTGCGGAGCCTCTTATGTACCCTCGTGAGTTTCTGGATCGTTCGGCGTAGAACTTTCAGTGCGTAGAATATTCGGAACTAGATCAGACGAGAATGCTCTCGAACTTACGAGAAAGCCAAATTGAAAGGATGAATATAGAAGGAAATGATCAGCCCTTAATTTGTGACAAATATTTGCACCGGAAAGCAAGCCCGAAGAGAGATGATGATTGACGTAACTTTGTTTATTGTTTGTGAATTTACACCCATGGCTTTCATTACAAGTAAAACGTTCGCCTATGTCTCTCAGTATGCTACCGGAGTGTTATAGCGATTGAATGCAATTCACTTTGAGTTTGAAATAAGTACTAAATATTTTCACGAGCTCGTTTTTGACCGGTACATTGGTTCTGGAGTTATTAATTGTAGCATTTATTTTTAGCCGGCTGTTCACTGCGAACGTCACTAGATTAGCTCACTTGTTTAGGCGCTTTGCTCCAAAATGTATATAATCTATAGGAAGCACTGCAGTTACCATAGCCGCCGCCCTCAAAACGAAGGAGCGCCGAACGACAGGAGGAGGGCTTCGGCGAGAGAGAGGGGTTACCGTTCGTGGAAACAGCGTATGTGAGCAGTTCCGCAAGTGACCTAATCAAGTAATGTTACTTACTGCTTAACTCTTATAAAAAAATAACAACGACATGATTTCAAACTCTAATTATTTTTTATTCTTCCCCAATTATACAAGAGCCGCAACTTCGCATTTTCGAGATTTCAGTGGCTCTTGTGGGAGAAAAACTGCGGCCCTGTTTTTAGTTTGGATACCCCCAGCATATCGTCCCGGCAAAACCTCTGGCAGAAGAGAATATCAATACTTACTCTCCCAATTCGGCTACTTCATAGCCTTCTTGCAGGCGGAACTTGGCCACTGGTACTGCAGCCGTCAGCAGCAGCTTATACTGGTTAAATACGGACCGGAGTTCCTAAAAAAACAAACAAAGAGTGGGCGTGAAAGCTAGATATAGATGAAGGTGGGAAGTTAATGCATACAGTACGTCCAACATGGTAAAATATCTATTGCCAAAATTGATGCGCACAGTGAAATGCGATAGCACTTTGCACCATCTTATTCTTAGTAAACGTTTCTTTATACAAATGTTAGGAACTGCAGTGGACAGTCTAAAAATACGTTCCGTCGACGTCCATGAACCAGTCAAACACGTTTATAACGAACAGCAGGAAACGCTACGATCAGTTCGAAATAGCAAGTAATTCGATATAGCAAAAACCATTTACAACTAACATCCACGATGCGTTCGTTGTAAGGCAAGAGCTTCTCTTTCCTTCATCATCTCTTCGTTTCCGCCTTATAACAACGAGCTAATTTTGTTGCGTGCAAAGTTTTTTTTTTTTTTAGCTTATTTACCTTTCTGAATTGCTACTCATAGTGGGCAACGGTTTTGGGATGAAGTTTTTTTTTTTTCTGTGCGTGCGTGCAGAGTGTTTTTTTAAGCTTTCTTTCCTTCTGAATCGCTTCTCTTCGCTCAATTTTGTTCGCAGCTTGAGCTTTTGTAATTTGCTGTCTTTCTTACTTTTTGTTTCTGTTGTTGTTTTCTTTTTTTTTTGTGTGTGTGTGGGGGGGGGGGGGGGGGGGGACAGGTTAGATTTTCGCGTTTTTGGAAGCCTTCCCGGGAGAAAATGTTCGATATACCCAATATAGTTTTCATTATGAAAAGTGGTTTTTACATGCTTTCGTTTTTATTTTAATTTTCCGTGAGTTCGATATCGACAATAATTCGCTGTACGTGGGTTCGTTCTAAACGGGTTTCACTGTCCTCATTTAAAACAAATTCATATAATTTTCTGATCTGCCTACTTCCAGCAGACAGGTCTCCGTCTACCAATTAAAGACTTTTGTTGTAGCATTACAGCAATTAAAATATTTCTTTTTTAATATTCAGATAGAAGCATCCCCTGATGAATAGAGGTCCCCGCTTGAAATGTTGGATTAAACTACATATATAGGACCACTTACAGTACGCATCTGTTTTTTGCATATGAAAGCATAACTAGATATTTGGTTTCTACATTTGATGTTTAGAAGATAATACACCATATCACATCCGTCGGGCGCATTACGCACTTTACGCCTGATTAATGTAGGTATGTTTAATGTAGGTCTTTTAACAAAGCTTAACCATATTAATATTCAACCCTCTGTTTTTAAGTGGATTTCTGAATTCCTAATTAACCGTTAGCAATATTTATCTGTCAACAACGCAAAAATCTGCCACCTCTACCGTAACGTCAGGTGTCCCCCAGGGAACCGTACTTGGCCCCCTTCTGTTCCTAATCGATATTAATGATCTCCACCTTCATATCGCGTCTTCTGTGCGCCTGTTCGCCGACGGTTGTGTCATTTACCGACACATTTTTTGTAATCCATTGGTGTGAAAAATGGCAGATGACGTTAAACTTCAATAAATGTAGATCCCTATCATTTTCCCACAGTTTGCGTGCCACACCATTTTCGTATTACCTCTCTAACACTCAAGTAATAGCATGTTCATCTTATAAATACCTGGGTGTTCATCTCACCTCTGACCTATCATGGACTACTCACATAACTTCTCTTATTTCTGATACTAACCGTTCTCTCGGATATTTGCGCCGTAACCTCAAACTTGCTACACCCTCCGTGAAACGACTATCGTATACTACTCTTATGAGATCGAAGTTAGAATACGCATCATCTATATGCTCCCCATGGCAGTCCTAACTTGCAAATAATCTAGGATCCGCCCAAAACAGAGCCCTTCGTTTTATTTATAACTACTAATCACCATATACCAGCATATCAGGATTACGCCAATCAGCTAACCTTCATTCACTTTCCCTTCGCCGCCGAGTATCACGCCTTTCTTTCCTCCATCGAATTTTTTATCACAATATCTACCTCAAAGAAGCACTGCTATCAGCTCCCCATTGTATTTTCCCGCGTCTAGATCACCTATGTAAATTACGTCCAATTCGATCATCAACTGTTTGTCACCGGACTTCCACATTACCATTGGCCATCGAGGATTGGAATTCACTACCTCGTAACATTGTTTTTAATAATGATACTACTAAATTTGTTGAAGCCATTACCCTTTCTTTATCTAACCTACCGAGCTAGCTTACAGTGTTATAATTGTGTTTACTGTTCTATTTGTTTTTGTTCTATTGCCACACCCTAATAATGCCCCACGGGCCCTCAAGGAAAATAAATGATGATGATAATATGCATATAAAATGCGTGCCGCCTGCTTTGTTGGTTACAAATCAAGCCACGGGAGCAAAAGCGCGTAGGGTATTCCCCGAAGTGCTAGCGCATTTAAGAAAAAAGTACACGAAATTTAACAATAAAGCACTCCTTATGTTTGCAGTTTTTTCCAATTATCCGACAGTTGACTATAAAGGAGGGAATGTGAATAAACTTACATGTCAAAACAAATAAAAAAATTGGAAAAGAAATTAATGTCTTGAGGCACAGAAGGTGCGGCGGAAGAATGTGTATATTAATTACATTTAGTTCATTACAAATTAATAATTAATGCATTATATTTGGCTATGGTTGGTGAGAGACGTTCTTTCCCATCGGACTTAGCTAACTTTTTCCCGCAAAATTTATCGGTCCAGTAGCGGTTTTTAGGGACGCTCTTGCGCAACTAAAATTAACTAAAACTTTTTAAGACAGCTCATCTTTCACAATTTCCTAAAACCTTTGAACATATTGAATTTATTTAAAAAAATGAGACTGTTCCAAGACAAATACTATTAATCGTTGGTGAACCACTGATGTAATAAATTATGTTTTTATAGCTAGTTTCACCATAGGTCAGAGTGCAGCCGACGTTACGAGAACATGGCAAGCAGCCATAGAAGGGAAAGGTCAGGGTGCTCATCACCTTCCTTCTTGAGTGCGGGGCAAGGTCAGGGCGTTTATGGCTTATGTAAGTGCACTATTAGCCCCGAGAAGTTCGCGTGGCGCCCCCTTACGGCGAGCCGGGGTGACGTCACGGCGAGGAGAGAATTTTTCCCCGACTCGCCCTGTGGAGGCTGGCACGACGCTAGCTGTCGGCGCGCTCCTTTCTATTTAATTTTTTTTTTCGCGTGTTTTTCGTAGGAAGTGTAAATTTTTATATGCGCCGTTATTAAGGTATGGCCTGCAGCTACAGGCGAAACTTCAACCAACATTTTAAGCATGGTTGAGAGGGCAGGCAACGCATGAATCGCAGCTGGTATATGAAAATAAAGAAATATGGCCACAAGTGCAGGAGCATCATGGACTATAGATTTACATCTCGCACAATAAATGCTGCTGATGGTCTGAATGAATTGGCAGCTGGTTATGCGTACTATTTTTTTTTCTATCTCTGCTTTTTTACACGATCGCCGAAGCAGAAAAGCTGCATACTACTCGAGCAACATGCTAAATACAGTCTGGATCATGGGGAGAGAATCACAAGTAAGACAGCCCAAGTGCAGGGCAAAGTAAAAAAACAAGGAACATTTATTATATGCATTGCTCGCATTTGACCTTTGCTGGATTCGGATAGTATTTCAATGGACTACACGGGTGGTATGTGTGGGCTTGTTTATATCAACCCTCAACTAATGTATAACAAACGTAAGCGAAGGTGTCTAGCTCGTTATTAGTCCCTTAAGCCCTAAAATTGATATTTTAATTAAATCGAATTGTCCTGAAGTTAAAATACCAGAAGCTTTTCTCACGCAGACTGTCGCCCTTCACAGGTTCCACATTTTCTGCTACTAGTGCTGCATCTACCACTGGACAGGCGTTCGAATGATTGCTTTTACTCTTGTTTTCCTCTGTTGTCAGAGAGTCCAGCTGTAGGGAGTTTGGAGGCTGAGGAAGCTTTTGGAAACCTGCAGCAGTGTCTCTTTTAATTGGAAATGACAATTCAGACTAAACGGTGTATTTTCCGAATACCCAAGACTGGAATAAAGAATGTCACGAAAAAGTATAAACATTCCAAATCGCGGCACTATTGCTGTGCATATTTTGGGCAGTTCAATACATATCATACAGGCAACTGGGGGCAGTTCGGCCGTTTTTGCTGCTACCATACAAACTAATTTCCAATAATTGTGCATCTTCCAAGAAATATGCCTGCATATGTGTATAAACTATATAATTAATTCATGAAGAAACTACATTTATGTAAAACAACCCTGTTCCACGAGCACTTCAAAGATAATCAGAAACAGGGCCTTTAAAATATCTGCGAACCAGCGCATGCAGAGTGGCAGCGCAGAGTCGGAATCGCGAGCTAAATTGCCGACCACCCGAAGGCCGATGATATAAATGCCACTTCAAATGCCTTGAAAGCGGGATGTAATATCGTCCTAAATCATGAACATGCAAGGAACAGAATTCCAGCGTCTGAAACACTTGCGCCACCACTTCACCGACTCCTCGCAAGATTGCCTTGTGTCGTGTGGACGGACGGGAAGGTTCATCGGCGGAATTGCCTCCGCCGATTGCTTTCGTTATTTGTAACCCAGTTTTAAAGGTAAAAGAGACAAGTAGGCTTATAAAATGTACGGAAGCACATCAATATCGGCCTAACCCAACGTCTTGTACACCGGGTGAACGAAGTCCAGCTCCTCGAAGAGCTTGCGGCACACAACGCCAAACCAGGAAACCGGTGCTGGGAAGCGAGCCGATGCGAGATCGCGGAGCGGAGTCCTCCCTCTGACGTCACGGTACACCTCACCCAATCAGGGCGCGGCGACCGCAGCGACGCTTGTGTTCGCTCTCGGGGCTAATAACTGAGTAAACAAAACAAGCGCAGATAATGCCCGAGACCTTGGGTTTTCACCTGTTGTGTCTACGTGTCTCGCATGTTTTCACTTTTGCTCAGTTTTAAATTGAAGCGAACTATAAGACGCGACGACAAAAAATTCTCACACAAAT